ACCGTACCCCGATTGGGTAGGTGCTACAATGCCACTGCCACGCAATTTTAGAGTTCCCGAGTTTATACTTTTTTCAGGCGAGGATGGACGTTCTAGTGTGGAGCATATAAGCCATTTCACCACACAATGTGGAGAAACTGGGTATAATGATTGACATAAACTTCAGCTCTTCTCATTGTCGTTAATGGGTGCCGCATTTAGTTGGTATTTGGCACTACCGCCAAATTTCGTACAATCATGGCAAGTGTTGGAGAGGATGTTCTACGACCGATTTTACAGTCCACCAGCTGAAGTTACATTGCTCAATCTAATGAGTTCAAGGCAAAAAATTGATGAGTCGGTGGCGGAGTACATTAAACGTTTCCGGAAATTGAAAAGTCGTTGTAATATTCAAATTCCAGATGCTCAAGCGACGAACATAGCTGTAGAAAACATGCACCCGAAACTTAAAGAGAATTTGGCGCTACAAGAATTCGGCGACTTTCAGCAGTTGGTGGTTCGTGCTATTCGTGTGGAACAAATGATAAAAGAGCGACAGGCTGCTCGGGTGATTCGGACCCGGCCAGTGAATCAATCTGTTTTGATTATTGATGAGGAGGTGGCTGATGAAAGTGCTATGGAAGAGGATGAGCCACCAGAGTTGTGTGCCGTTGAATTGGTGCAAGGCCAGAGGTATACTTGTCCTGCGCTTCGGCCAGCTAAAGGAAAAGAGGTCGGTCCGAGGGTATTGTAAATGACATGATTCTTACAGCCATTCGATCGAGAATTGTGTGGCATTTCGAAATGCCATACAACAAGCATTGAAGAATGGTCGTTTGAAATTAGCCGAGGGGAAAGATATGAAGATTGATTCAGATCCTTTTCCAGCGGCTGACAATGTTATGTCAATCGAAAGTGGAGAGCAGCAACATAAATATGTTTTTGAAAGGTTGGGGAGTCAAACTGCACAATTTAAAGGAACTCAATGGCGGCGATCCAAATCAGTGTTCCAGTGACTTGGAATTTTGAAATACAACAACGAACAGGAAGGTTCATTAAAAGAGAGGCCGACATTGAAGGATCTTTTGTGGCCATCATCAATGGTTGTGGAAGTTGATGTCAATAAGGGAAATACCTTTTGCAATGTCACCACAGGAGATCAGGTAGTTATTCGTCCCCACGCAATGAGGAAGCCTCATATGATATGATCAACGGATGAATGGACTATTAATCGTAAGGTGCAAGATATTCAGGGGCAGAGTATCTTGACTCGAACACAAAAAAGAAGGCGTCAAAGAGAGAGTTTGGCTAAGAAATTTCCGGAAGCAATTTCAGAGAAGAGAGAAGAGACCGAATTGAGTAAACCAGCCGTGGTAGTTGAGAAGATGTTTAGGAATGATAGCTCACCTCGCAGTCAACCATATATTGCTGGAAAAGGAACTTGGCGGGCTGTTTGCCGCAAAGAAACGAATCGCCAACAAAAAGAGGTGCAGGCTATATCAATGGGAGAGCAAGTACCAACTCAAGCGACTCAAAATAATGTTGGAGAAAAGGCTTGGCTGGTTGTTAGGCACCAAGAAATTAAATGGAAGAGACAAGAGGATCCCATTGGGAAAAATGTTTGGTGGGCTTCTCGTTGCAAAGAGACAAACCGCCAACGACAAGATACAAGGATTGTTCCAATTGGGGAGCAAATACCAAGTAAAGAAACTCAAAATAGTGCGGAAAAAGATTTGTGGCAGGCCGTTGGCCGCCAAGGAAGAAGTCACCAGAAACAGAGGATGCATGTTGCTTCAGTTGAAAAGCGATTGTCGATGCCGGTAGTTCAGAAATGGTTGCCAAGGAAGCCGCAACTAGCGACAACTCAAAGATGGGTGCCGATCAAGCGAAAAAATCCAGGAAGTCTGATGGCGTGCCTGGAAGACTTGGAAAATTTGTAGTGAGTGAGGATGATGAAATTGAGGTTGATGAAGAAGCTATCGAGAGAGAAGTTGATGAGCTTTTTAGCATCATCAATCCCAACGAGGTAGATGTTTTGGGAATACTTCTAGCTGAGTTCCATCCCAAAAGCTCGCAGCCTAACCGTTCTGATGGAGACTTTGAGGTAGAAGAGGCATAGGTGGCTGCTCTTTTTGGTCATGATGATGTTTTTCCAAAAGTGTTGGCGTTCCCAAAACCTTCCAATGAACAAACTCATCATCTCAAGCCTTTATGTTTAAGGGCGTTGATCGATGGGCGCCCCGTGGGAGAGTGCTGGTTGATTGAGGGGCTTTTGCTAATGTTATGTCATTTTCAACCATTCATAAGATTGGGAAGACACAAGAAGATCTTATCCCAACCCGGATTCAAACAACGAATTTCACTGGAAATACGCATAAACCATCCGGAGTGTTAAAAGCCGACGTAACTGTTTAGGAAAAAAACAGTGCGAGCAACTTCTATAGTTATTGAAGGAAAACCGGCTTACTCGGCGTTGTTGGGAAGAGATTGGATCCACACGTGCAAGTGTGTGCCATCAACTTTATATCAACAGGTGTGTTTTTGGGATGGAGAGACGGTTCAAATGGTTGATGCTCAAGCCGATCCATTCACCTCTGATCTGGCTGTCATTGATGCTCATTATTATTTAACCGATTTGCAACCATTATCTGTTGTGTTGAAGAATAATGTGCAAGGAGATGTTGAATGTGTTCTCACATCTGCTGGCTTTGAAATAAGGCCACGGGTTGAGTGTCGGACAGCTAGAGTTATTATTCAATTATGGCAACTGAACAAGAAGACACTGGGGGATTTGAGCCGCTTCCGCCGGTACAGAGGAGAGCACCAACATTTGAGGCGCAGAATCCTTTAGTGGAAGTGAATCTTGGAATGCCTGAAGAGCCGAGGACTACAAGAATCAGTGCACTACTGTATGATGATGACCGTTTGAGAATGGAAGATTTGATTAGCCAGTATCGTGATTGTTTCGCTTGGGACTATTCGGAGATGCCGGGGCTGGCTAGGGAGTTGGTTGAGCATCGATTGCCAATTAAATAAAGTTATCAACCACACAAGCAGTCGCCTAGAAGGTATAATCCCGAATTGCTTTCGGCGATCAAATCGGAAATTGAAAAACCATTGAGAGCGGGATTTATTCATACTAGCCGCTATCCAGAATAGATATCAAACATTGTACTGGTTAAGAAGAAAAGTGGCGTAGTGCAAGTATGTAGAAATCTCAATCTTGCAACGCCAAAGGATCATTACATATTCCGGTCACCGATATGTTAATTGATTCAGCGGCAAATCATGGCATATTATCGTTTATGGACGGTTATTCGGGTTACAACCAGATTTTTGTAGCCGAGGAAGATACTGCCAAGATGGCATTCCGATGTCCAAGGGAAATTAGTCTATTCGAGTGGGTTGTTATGCCTTTTGGTTTGAAAAATGCCGGAGCTACGTATCAGCGCGCCATGAACTTGATTTTCCATGATCTCATCGGCAAATGAATGGAAGTTTACGTTGATGATGTGGTGGTGAAATCTGATAGGATGGCAATTTATTTGGAGCATCTGGAACAAGCATTTCTGCGAATCGCAAAATGTGCTTTTGGTGTTTCGGCAGGAAACTTTTTGGGATTTATTATTCATGAGAAAGGAATTGAAATTGATCGAAATAAAGCACGAGCCGTCATTGAAACAGCTCCTCCAAAGTTGATTAAAGAGTTGCAAAGTTTGATGGGAAAAATAAATTTTTTGAGACGGTTTATTGCAAACGCAGCGGGAAAGATGAAGGCTTTCGCAATGCTTTTGAAGGGCAGAAGATCGGCTGAATTTATTTAGGGGGCAGAGTAGCATACTGTGTTCGACGAGATGAAAAGGTTATGTCCAACCCTCCGGTCTTGGTGCCACCAAAAAAGTGCAGGCCCTTGAAAATTTATGTAGCAGCGTCTAAGGAAACAATTGGCAGTTTGTTGATGCAAGATGATGATGAAGGTAAAGAGAGAGCGATATGCTACTTGAGCAAAACATTGAACGATGCGAAAGGCAGGTGCTCTAGTATAGAAAAATTGTGCTATTCGTTGTACTACACATGTACAAAACTCGAGTATTATCTTGTTCCGCATGATGTTTATGTCTTTTTCAAGGTTGATTTAATTAAGTATATGTTGCATCGCCCTGTTCTTAAGGGTCGTTTTGTGAAATGGGTTGTTCGATTAATGCCTTTTGAGTTGAAATATATGCCTTTGAAGGCCGTCAAAGGACAGACGATTGCCGAATTTCTTGCCGAGCACTCGAGTTCTAAATCAATAGAAGGCATTGATGCTGTTTTTGTGGGAGCATCCCCTTGGATTTTACAGTTTGACAGGTCAAGTACTCATACGTCGGCAGGAATTGGCGTCATGATATTTAGCCCTTGTGGCGAAATTTGGAGGCATTCCCTTCGACTTTAACAAGAAAGTATGAATAATAAAGCTGAATATGTGGCTCTCATTTTTGGATTGCGCATGTTGGCGATTCATAAGGCACGACATATATTGATTCAAGGTGATTCACAATTGATTAACCAACTTGTTGGCCAATATCAATGTCGGGATCCAAATTTGTTACATTTGTATGATGAGGCACGAACTTTGTTACATGAGTTTGATGATGTCGCCAAGAAACATGTGTCGAGGTGAGATAATGATGAGGAAAATGATCTTGTGCAAGCCTCGTCGGGTCATCGTAAGGCCGTTAAATCGGCAGGCCAGCTGAGGGAAACTTTGTGCCAAGATGCAAGTCAGGGTCAGGATATAGATTGGTGACAACCTTTTATACAATTTCTTGCTGATCCTTCCCAGGATGTGTCTTTTGAAACTAAGTGCAAGTCCCTTAGGTATACGTTAATCGCCAGAGAGTTATACCGACGAACTATCAGTGGGGTATTATTGAAATGCCTTGATAAAGAGAAAGCATTAAAGGCAATGGGAGAGATACACGAGCGTATTTGTGGAGAGCATCGAGCAGGCCCACACATGAAATGGTCGTTGTTGCGGTATGGATACTTTTGGCCAAAGATGGGAGCGGATTGTGTTGCATATGCTCGGGGTTGCCAAACTTGTCAAATGCACAGACCAATTAGTCGAGCGCCAGCTGAGGAGTTGCATCCCATTATTAAGCTATGACCTTTTAGAGGTTGTGTGATGGACATCATTGGGAAGATTTATCCGCTATCCTCGCAAAGGCATGCATTCATTCTTGTGGCGACGGATTATTTTACGAAGCGGGCGGAGGCTGCTCCATATGTGAGCATCACTCAAATGGATGTTATTTGGTTCATCAAAGAGCAGATAATTAAACGCTTTGAGATTTCTCAAACGATTACGACTTATCAAGGGACAGTGTTCATAGGATAGCGAGTCAAAGCATTTGTGGCTCAATATGGGATTAAACTTATTCATTCATCGCTGTATTACGCTCAGACCAACGGGCAGGCTGAGGCTACTTATAAGAGCTTGGGGATGATCATCAAAAAATTGCTGGAAGATAGCCCTCGGAAATGGCACAAAGTTTTATCCAAGGCGTTGTGGGCATATCGTTACGCCAAGAACACTACGACAGAATGCCGTGTTGCTAGTAGAGATCACGGTTCCTTCCTTGCGGGTCGCTCAACGACATGGTTTGAGCATCGAAGATTATCATTGGGCACTGTACGGTGAGCTGGATCAAGCAGAAGAGGAGCGATGGACTGCTTTTGAAATTATTCGGGCACATAAAGCCAAGGTGGCACAGTGGTATAATAAGAAAGTTAAGGACTGGTCATTTGCAATTGGTGACTTGGTTTGGAAATGTGTTTTGCCAATTGGGACAAAGGATCATCAAAAAGGAAAATGGTTGCTGAGTTGGGAGCGTCCTTACGTGATTAGTGATATGCTACCGAATGGAGCATATCGGATAATGCATCCGGATGGGTTGGAATTAAAAGGGGTTGTGAACGCAGGGTTTTTGAAACTATATCACATGTCTTTTGGGCTTTTAGTTGATCGTGTTAGAGTTGACTCAGAAATTGTGCTTGGTAGTTAAGGAGTTATGGCGAGTGGGAAAGAAAAGTTGTCGATAGGTGTCGTTTGTAGTTTTGAAGGCTGATCATTGGTAGTCGCTAATAGGAATGGTGGTTTTACGACTATTTTGCCAGAGTAAAATTGCGGTAAAATGTTTTCCTAGATGGCAGGCGTTGTAGTGGTCGGACGCTGCTGTAGGAAATTCATTTTCAACGATGGAATTTCACATTATGGCTATGCCTATCAATTCTTCTTCATGAGCGTGAGTCCCTTGTCGCTACGCCAAAGATCGTGTCATAATGATAGTTTTATGCCAATAATTCATCTACTTCGGATCAAGGTTGATTGATCTAGGTATGTATATTTCACAAAATTTACTTATTTAATTGATTAATATTTTATAGGGGGCATTATGTTGGCACATAAAAAAAAAATTGGCGGGCCAATGGGAATTTGCAATGAGTTGGGCAAGAGGGCAAAACGGATTGGAGCAATATTGGTTCAAGACTTGAAGAGATAGTTGGGTTTGTAATTCAAATACCGAAATCATTCAGCCCATACTTCATATATGAACGGTTTTTTTGTGGTGGTGAGAGGAAAATTTAGGAGTAATTAAAGGCTCATTACTAGAAGAATGAAGAGAGGAATTAATGTGTGATATTAAGGATGATTTATGATGATGGAAGTTTCATTCTTTTAGGAGTGGAAGGGTGGTGGAACCTTGGTGATTTTGGCAAGATGAATTAATTAGCCACTAAAAAAAGAGTAAAAAATTGCTAATGAATAGTTAGTGGTCAATAAATGTTTTGATGGTTTCATCTCACGGGATTCAAATGAAGGTGGAAGCAATAGAAGGTGGGGATCCGATCAAGACAAAAAAATTTCAACACTTGCTTTCTTTTTACTTTATTATCTTATTTTCTTTTCTTGTTGCATCTTAGAAGGTAGAGTTTTGTAATTATCGATATCATCCATCCAATACAATTTGTCACCATGTGCTTTTTCTTGAGTTGATTTAATTTATCTTCTCGGAAAACTAATCGCATATCACCGGGAGCTCGAATCGAGTTGTTCGGGAACTGCCATATCTCACGAACAAGAATTTTAAGGCCAGAATCAATTTCCAGGCCAACAATATATATATATAGCACAAGGGTATGGCTCTTGTTGGATAATCGATTATTTTACAATCGATTATTTTGTGAGTGAAAATGTGACGGACCGGTGTACCAAATTAATATAATTAATTTGGAAGAAATAAATAAATATTATTTATTTATTGTGTATGGGATTTGGTTAATATTTTGGCTATTTTGCCTGTCTCGAGACAAACCAAATTGTGCAACCCCAAATTAAACCCGGGTATATGGCCTAAGTCGCAATATTATTTGGATAAAATATTATCCGTTGGATAGATTTATTATAATCTCAAATGGAAGGTTTGAAATTAGAATAAATTACAATCGTTTCAAACGGAAGGTTTGAAATTAGAATAAATTACGATCGTCACAAACAGAAGGTTTGTAATTAGAATAAATTACGAATGCTTCAAACGGAAGGTTTGAATTTATATTAATTACATCGATAATTAAGGTCGTAATTATGATCGCAATTGATCCCCTGCCATTTTGGCCGAGTGGAGACGCTTATATAAAGGGCCTCCCCCTTCATTCTAACATCCAACACAAACAATCCTCTCGTACTTCTCTCCTCTCTTCTAGCTTTCCGGCAGCCTCCCCAGCTCAGTTCCTCTCTCGTTTTGTTTGCCGGAGCTCCAACGATTAGAGGTTCCACTCTCATTGGAGACGGAAACCGTTTTATCTTTGGATTAGAATGCCACCCACCGGAGGCATTACTGGGGCGTATCTAATTTTCGGAAAGAGGATCCATCATCGACTCGGATTCACATTTATTCTCACAATACCCATATATTCCAACAATCAAAAAATTAGATATTACTTTTCGAGAATGTCAACCCCTGCCGAAGTCGCCGCCGGAGCCACCGCCGGAGGAATCGCAGGAAGAACCGCCGGAGGAGTCTCCGGAATCTCCGCCAGAGCCGCCACCGGAGATGTCGCCGGAGGAGTCGCCGGAATCTCCTCCGGAGCCGCCGCCGGAATTGCCAACAGAGATGTCGCCGGAAAAGTCTCCGGAGCCGCTGCCGGAGGAATCACCGGAGGAGTCGCCGGAACCGCAGACGAGATAGTCACTCCTTCACTTGGGTCAATTCCCTTTATGGGCAGCCCTTTGTTTTCAGGATTTGCCCCTTGGGGATATGAGGAATTTCCTGGGTTTGTGGCCGCACCCTCTGCTTCATTCCCGGCCCAAACTGTTGATCCTGGGCTTGGCCCATGGATGATGCCCCATGTACAAGTTCCACAGCTATTCACGGGAGTGGACTTTAAGAGGTGGCAGGAGAAGATGCTCTTCTACTTTACTGCGATTGGGTTTGCCATATTCGTGTTGCACGATGGCCCAACCACCCCAGTGTCCGGTGTGGATCAGCAGACGCATGCGAATTATGCATCGTGGGCACACGGAGACTACATGACAAGAAATACTATATTAGGTAATCTCTCTAACTCTCTTTATAATGTATATTGCAAAATAAAGAGTGCGAAAAGGTTGTGGGATGCCCTTGAGAAAAAATATAAGTCCAAGAATGTCGGATCAAAAATGTTTGTTATGGCCTGGTTTATGGACTATAAGATGGTAGATGGCAAGTCTGTTGTCGAACAAGTGGAAGAATTTCAACATATTTTTCACTCTGTTATCGACGATGAGATGCCACTGCTAGAAAAGTTCATCACGAGTGTGATGATCGAGAAATTGCCCTCGAGTTGGAGCAACTTCAAGCACGGGCTGAAGCATGAGCTAAAGCAAGTGGGGCTTGAAGATCTGATTGTCCGAATCCGGATATAGGAAGACAACAGAAAGCAACACAAGGCTAAAAGTAAAGATATTGCTAAAGCAAACTTGGTCGGAGATCCCGCCAAAAAATATGCACGCCCAACTGAAACGGACAAGGGCAAAGCCAAACAGTTCAAGTTTACAGGTAATTGTTTTAACTATGGTAAAATAGGACACCAGGTTAAGGACTGCAAGGCACCGAAAAAGAAGAAGCCAAGTTCCCAACTGGTCAAGACGAGCCACCGGACTGATCGTGATCTCAATAGTGACGATCTTGTCGTTGTTGTGTACGAAACAAATAATGTGGAAAGTCCGAGAGCTTGGTACATTGACACCGGAGCAACCTGCCATGTTTGCTCCGACAAAACAAACGTCTCTACCTACAAGAAGACCGAAGGGAGGAAGCTGCACATAGGAAATCATACAACTTATGAGGTCCAAGGGGTAGGGAACGTGATGCTGAAGATGACCTCTGGCAAAGAACTAACCCTGAAAGATGTCCTGCATGTGCCAGACATTAGGAAAAATCTCGTCTCAGGATCGCTGCTAGTTAGGCATGGTTTTAAACTTGTCTTTTTAGTAGATAAACTTAAATTATCAAAAAACAAGATGTTCCTAGCTAGGGTTTATCTTACAAATGGGCTGTTCAAATTGAATGTAATGGTCGTGCGCCGAGCACCACCTACTGATAATAAAAATATTGCTTCTTCTCCGTACTTGATTGAGTGTTCTGATTTATGGCATTGTAGACTAGGTCATGTAAACCTAAATGCTATAAAAAGATTTGTAAATATGAATTTACTAAATATAAAAGAGGTGAACACTCAAAACAAATGTGAAGTTTGCGTAGAGGCCAAAATGGCAAAATTACCCTTCCCGTCTGTCAAAAGGAAGACAAAACCATTAGAGTTAATTCACACTGATGTATGTGATTTAAAATTTATGCAAACTAGAGGTGGAAAGAAATATTTCATCACCTTTGTCGATGACTGCACAAAGTATTTCTATCTTTACCTATTAAGGGAAAATAGCGAAGCAATCGAAGCCTTCAAGAACTTCAAAACCGAGGCAGAAAATCAACTTGACTGTAAAATCAAGAAAGTTCGAAGTGATAGAGGTTGCGAATATATGGCCCGTTCGAAGAATTATGTAACGAAAGTGGCATAATTCATCAGACAACGGCCCTATATTCACCTCAATCGAACGGCATTGCAGAACGCAAAAATTGAACACTTAAGGAAATGATGAATGCCTTGTTGATAAGTTCAGGACTTCCCCAAAACCTGTGGGGGGAGGCGGTACTGACTGCAAATTATATCATGAACAAGATTTCACTTAAGGGTAAGGATGTCACTCCTTACGAACTATGGAAAGGCAAGAAACCCACATACAAATATTTCAAAGTGTGGGGGTGCCTAGCAAAAGTGGAAGTTCCACTTCCAAAGCAAGTCTCTATCGGCCCAAAAACGGTAGATTGCATATTTATTGGATATGCACTAAACAGTAGTGCGTATCGTTTCATAGTTCACAAATCGGAAATCCCTGGGATGACCGAGGGAACTACGATAGAATCAAGGAATGCCACATTCTTTGAAAATATCTATCCTTGTAAGGAACGGATGCAGTCAAACCCAAAATCTGTAGATGAAAAAAACTACGGGGCGTAAAAAGACAAATGACCAATAGCCCTGATCAAAAGGCTTCAGAGCCTAGGCGTAGCAAAAGGACAAGGGTCGAGAAAACCTTTGGTCCAGATTTTGTTACATATATGTTAAACAATGATCCAGAAACGATCAAGGAACCACTATCTAGTCCTGATGCTCATTTTTGGAAGGAAGCAATAGGTAGTGAAATAGACTCAATAATGCATAATAACACTTGGGTGTTATCTGACCTACCCGAAGGCTGCAAACCACTAGGGTGTAAATGAGTTTTGAAAAATAAATTCAAGGCTGATGTGTCTATTGACAAATACAAAGCCCATCTTGTAGTAAAAGGCTACAGACAAACTCGAAGGGTACTTCGATGCCAATTGAATATCCGATGCAAAAGACTCACTGTCTACAAGTGGATATGTATTTACAATTGGAGGAGGAAATGTCTCGTGGAAAT